AAGCATCCTCATCATTTCATCCAATTGGTTGCAGTAGACATCTGCTATAATCAGCTGACTAGGTTTCATGAAGCTGCAGTGGATAATACCAGCGCTGGACCACCAAAAAGACACCATTAGCTTTACGTGATGAATATTCAGTTTTGGATTGTGTTTCGGCACTTCATTGTCTGAAGGCTTGTGATTGACAAAAAAAAATTCATTTTTCATCACACATAACACTAAGGTGTAGAAATGGTTCACCTTTATGTCATGACAACAAAGAAAGGCAAGCTTCAAGACGATTTCTCTTCTGACGTTCGTTTAATTCATGTGGAACCGATCTATCCAGCTTCTATACCTTGTCAATTTGTTTCAAATAGTTCAATATTGTTGGAATAGTAACGTCAAACCTTGCTGCTAATTCATACATAGGTTGAAATGGATTTGCTTCTACTATAGCTTTCAGCTCATCATTATCTACCTTGGTCTAAGATTGCCCACGTGGCTCATTTTTAAGATTAAAATCACCAGCACGGAACTTCTCAAACCATCAACGTACTACCGTGTTTCCCTGAAAATAAGACAGGGTCTTATATTTATTTTTCCTCAAGAAGACACCCTAGGGCTTATTTTCAGGGGATTTGTTATTTTCCCCTCAAAGCCTCAGCTTGCAGCACACACAGGATGGCCGGGACCTGATGGGGAGCCGACCTTGTTGGTGGGGCTGCCCGCACCTTTCCGGTTACCTCTGGGATAGTAGCTGTCATGATGGGGCAGATGAGAAAGGACTGCTCGTTTTCTTTACCACTCCGTGACAAAATTCATGGGTTGTGCAGATATGCTGCGTAGCCACACCCATCACTAGGTCTTGTTTTTGGGGTTGGGCTTATATTGCACAAATGCTTAGAAATCCTGCTCGGGCTTATTTTATGGGTAGGTCTTATTTTCGGGGAAACATGGTATGTGTTCATTAGCCACATCCTTTCCAAACACTTTGTTGATATTTGAAGCTGTCTACACTGCAGACAGAACTCATATTCAAAAATAGCACACATTTTTAACTTATCCAGGGTTTCACAAAAATTGCTCCAAAAAACTTTGAAAGATAATCGCAAGCCAAACTATGCACTTTAAAGAATGAGGTTGTACCTTTACAATAAAAATAAAACAAGAAGTGTCAAAGTGAAATGTCAGAGATATCAACTGTCAAATTTAGTACTTAAGTCGGACATTTCATACTTATAACCTAATACCACTAAAACTTTTTGCCTAATCTCCAAGTATAAATTATTCTTAAAGACATCTAAGTGTTAAATAAATAGAAGATTATTAAGAGTAATAATATCAAGGCTGGGCACGGTGGTTCACACCTGTCCTAGCACTCTGGGAGGCCAAGGCGGGCGGATTGCTCGAGGTCAAGAGTTCGAAACCAGCCTAAGCAAGAGTGAGACCCCGTCTCTACTATAAATAGAAAGAAATTAATTGGCCAACTAAAAATACATAGAAAAAATTAGCCGAGCATGGTGGCACATGCCTGTAGTTCTAGCTACTTGGGAGGCTGATGCAGGATAGCTTAAGCCCAGGAGTTTGACGTTGCTGTGAGCTAGACTGATGCCACAGTACTCTAGCCAGGCAACAGAGTGAGACTCTATCTCAAAAATAAATAAATAAATAATCAATGAGAAAAGATAGCATGTAGTGATAAATCTAAATTTTTTTTTAAGTGATGAGGGGATAAAAATTAATCATTTCATAAAATACAAAATCTAAACCCTGGAATGGTACATTGAGAGGATTATTCTATAACTTGAAAATACTATATTTAAACATCTTATCCAAGAGGCAGGAGATCTATATGATTCTCTAGAAGAACTAACACAACTGAGAAATAAATATTAAGAAGGAATTTTTAAATCCTTAATTAAAGGAAATAAATTACAAAAATTTTAAATCTGGCAAGAAACAAGATAGCCATAGTGTATTCTTCAAACCAGACTGAGTTGCACACACCACAGATTTGATCCAACGTTGACAATTCTCATGGTTTTCTTTTTATTTTTTGAGACAGAGTCTCCCTCTGTTGCCCGGGCTAGAGCGCCATGGCGTAAGCCTAGCTCACAGCAACCTCAAACTCCTGGGCTCAAGCGATCCTCCTGCTTCAGCCCCCCAAGTAGTTGGGACTACAGGCATGCACCACCATGCCTGGTTAATTTTTTCTATATATGTTTAGTTGGCCAATTAATTTCTTTCTATTTATAGTAGAGATGGGTCTCACTCTTGCTCAGGTTGGTTTCAAACTCCTGACCTTGAAGGATCCACCCACCTTGGCCTCCCAGAGTGCTAGGATTACAGGCATGAGCCACGACACCCAGTCCCAATTCTCATATTTTAAATGGTTATTTGTCCTATTTCTTATAAGCTGCATAGAACACTCTGCTATTTTCTAGCACCCTGAGTGTTTTCCTCCTCACTAGATCTAGGGTTAAACTGGACTGATGATATTCTTCAATTATTTTCAGACTTGAGTAATACTAGCTTTCTAAAATAGTTGATTTGAAAGAATATCCTAGTTCAATCCTCTCTATGGCACCACCATACAGAACGATTTATGTTGTTTTGTCCCTAAATCTGTTGTGAAATAAATTACAATGGATCTTTAGTGTCCAGCTACTCTGGCTTTTTGTCATTTTAAATAGGTAGGTATGAATACTTACATCAAGTTTGTTGTATAAAATTGAAACAAAGGCCAAAACAAGAAAGCAGAATTCACAGGGAAAATTAAATTATTCCATACTCTTTTAAGAATGAAAATAGGAAGTAAAAAACCCCAAATATTTAACATCAGATTTTGTTACATGTTTTCTTTATCGAAATGATTGCTAATGTATATATAACAAGTCAAACCTATGAAACGTAAATGCTGTCAAGATATTATTACCAGGCTGGGCGCGGTGGCTCACACCTGTAATCCTAGCACTCTGGGAGGCCGAGGCGGACAGGAGTTTGAAACCAGCCTGAGCAAGAACGAAACCCCGTCTCTAATATAAACAGAAAGAAATTAATAGGCCAACTAAAAAAACACAAAAGCATATATATAAAAAATTAGCCAGGCATGGTGGCGCATGCCTGTAGTCCCAGCTACTCAAGAGGCTGAGGCAGGAGGATCGCTTGAGCCCAGGAGTTTGAGGTTGCTGTGAGCTAGGCTGACGCTACGGCACTCTATTCCAGGCAACAAAGTGAGACTCTGTCTCAAAAAAATAAATAAAAATAATAATAACAATAAAAAAAGATATTACCAGACAGTTTTCTGCTTCAGGACATACCAAAAATCTAGAAGTTCTTGCCAGGAACACCGTGACCTAATTTAAAAAGTCACTGGGTTCTAGTCTGAGATCCGTTACTTGGCTGCCACTGGATGGGTCACCTACAATTTCTGCAGTTTTCTTCCTGCATTTTTCTCATCCTAAAATTATTTAAAAACCCATAGCATATAAATTACACACTTTTAAAGCTCTAGGTGGCTATAAAGTATTATTTCACCACAGGGACCTACATGCTATAGATGTTCAATAAAGATTAACATTGATTCAAGAATCAGCTATGACACATAAAGAGGATTTCAGTTCTATTCAGTGCCACCAAAAAGAGGAGTATCTATCCTTGAGGCAATTTCCCTGTTCCTGTGGTTCCCAAACCTGGCTGCCCAGAACGATATTTAAAAATCACTGCTTCTTACAATGTTGTTTCATCTCTGAGATTAAATTTAGGCACCTAAGAAAAATCCTACAAGGTAGATACATTTCTCCATTTGAAAATCATACCCAGAGGAGGAAGGGATGAGAAAAGATTAGTGTCCAGGAAATGACTATTACTTTCTACCTACCCAAGAGTTTGACTAGTCTCCAGTTCTGGTCACTGATCTTCCCCCTTTTGCTCTATGTCCAAAACCGCCCTTCTGCCTCACAAGACAGTCATCCACTGATAGTAACTTCTTATCCTGATCACACAAATGTCTGGGAAGTCTACAGAGTTTACTATCCCAAGAAGCAAAATGAACTAAAACAAAGAGATTCAAAACACAGCCTCTAACACAAAGGGTTATAAAAGAGAACAAGGGCAATCACTAAAATTCAAAAGAACAGCAAGCTCTGTTATGCTGTAAGGTAGGGAACTGTACTAAAACACATTATGATTTGATTAATTCACCATGTAGCATATCTCCCATGGGTTAACAATACTTTCAAAGTCCTTTGACAAAAGTTATCTTTTCTTGAATTAAGCAGACTATTCTAAATACTAATTGATAAATAGCTAAAATTTCCTTCCTTCACCCAAGAACCTCCCAACCTACCACGTTTAGGGAAAAAACAACCTCTTACTTATTTACTCTCCTTACTGTCTCTCTCTCCCCTTAGCATTTTTTAAAAGAAATGTTACCATAATATCACCTGCGTAATAACCCTGCCAAAAATATTTAACCTGAATCTAATCTTGAGGAAACAGTCAGACAAAACAAAATAAAGGGACATTCTGCAAAACAACTAGCCTGGGCACTTAAAACATTGCAATATAACAAACAACCACAAAAAAGCTAGAACTAGTCTAGATTAAAAGAGCCTAAAGAGAAATGTTAACTAAGTGTAATATGCAATTAGTCATTAAAAACAAAATTAAAAAAGTTACTGCCACAACTGGAGAAATATTATACCAAACTTAACATCCTATGTGTAACAATTTGTATGTTGCAGTTGTGTAAAAAAATCACCCTTTAAGAGACATATAATGTGCACTGTCATAATTTCGGCAACTAATTTTTAAATAGTTCAGCAAAAATTCATGTGTGTATTTGTGGATGTAAGTACAGAGAGAGAGAGAGAGAGAGAAAGCAAATGAGGTAAAAAATTAACAACTGGTCAAACTTGGTAAAGGGGATACAGTTTTGCCAGTTGTTTACCAGTTTTGTGAATGTTCAAAATTTTCAAAATAAATAATTGAGGCAGAAATGAAATGTTACTCACTAGCTGCTTGACTTTAACTCCCTGTGGAATACCAGCTGGTTGTGAAAGGACAGCACCGGCCTGGGCAAGTTTGATTTGGATTGGAGTGCCAATGACCGGCTTGTCTGACGTGGTACCAGCAGAAGAAACAACAGGTTTCACAGACGGAAGGCATATAGCTGCAGCTGAGGTTTCTCCAAAAGTCACTGTTGGAAGGGCCAGAGTTACTGCTGCTCCAGATCCAGAGACAACTGGCTTTTCTGGCTGAAGTGAGACCGTTGTAACTGTATTTGGTACAGATGACACAAGTGGTTTGGAAGTCTGAAGCAAAACAGTTCCAGCTGTTGTTCCTCCTGGTACAGTCGCTGGGCCCACAGAATGAAGTGTCACAACTCCAGCCTTTGCTCCCCCTGGCCCAGTAAGTGGATTCAGAGTTTGCACTGACATAGTTCTGGGTGTTGTCACTCCAGAAACGATGATGGGATTTTCAGGCTGGATTGCGGCAACTGTTGTTGTCACCACAGGAGCAGTTGTTGCTGTTGCAGTACAGGTAGCAATCACTACCTCACTAGAAGTCTGCTGGACACACTGCTGAATGAAGCTCTGAGAGTTAGGCAGAAGTTGTCGTAAGGCAATCACACTTTTCTAGAAACACAAGGGAGGGGGAAAAAAACACTGGTAACAAAACAAATCAGCTACTAACAAAAAAACCCCTTTATATTTCATATCTTTAATAACATAAAGCCAACCGAAAGCGTATCAAGTATTTATCACTTATTTAAATCATGTCAATATCCAGAATCCAATCAACTTTCAATATGAAATTGAAAGTTGCTTTATTTTTCAATATGAAATTATTATGTCTCAATGTGAGACTTATTTTGTATAACTCAGTATCAACTGGTAAAACAAAAGATTGTACCATACTTTTCTGTAGCCATCTAAACCCCATAATGGATTATTAATAACATCAGTAACTAGAAGTTAATTTACATTTACATCACAGGAGAATCTAGGACTTTCTGTTAAATTACTTTCAAATGTTAGAAAGTCTTTACATCAAAATAAAACTAATACAAAGTGAATTTTAAGATCAGAAAAAATTTCCTTAATTGAGCTAGTGTGTTTTCTGACTGGATTTTAAGTCAGTGTCTATCTTTGCATCCTTCTGAAAGAGAAAGGCAGTTTGAACTAAAAACTAGTAGGTTCTACCTTTTGATCCACAAGGTTTTTGTTTGTTTAGAAATAAGAAAAAAAGACACAAAAGTGGATAAATGGCAGGTTATCTTCACAGGTGGTAGAAGACTGCCTTGTTGTGACATTTAAATTCAGTCAGAGTGCCTAGTAAAAGCTAGAAGCAATGGTAAGGCTCACAAAACAAAAAATGAAAAATAAAACCACAGTCCCCACTCAAGAAGCAAATAAGAACTATTGCTTCATTCCTTTACTTTACAAAAAGACATTCCTGTCTGAAGAAATTTCCAAAAGGTATACTTGAAAAGGTAACAAGAAAGTAAAAGACCAAAAATTCCTCAAAATCTTTTTTTAAAATTTAAAAATGGCAGAATAGGGCACTCTGGGAGGCCGAGGCGGGCGGACTGCTCAAGTTCGAAACCAGCCTGAGCAAGAGCGAGACCCATCTCTATTATAAATAGAAAGAAATTAATTGGCCAATTAGCATATAGAGAAAAAACTAGCCGGGCATGGTGGCACATGCCTGTAGTCCCAGCTACTTTGGAGACTGAGGCAGCAGGATCGCTGAGCCCAGGAGTTGAGGTGCTGTGAGCTAGCTGATGCCATGGCTCACTCTAGCCTGGGCAACAAAGCGACTCTGTCTCAGAAAAAAAAAGAAAGAAAGGAAGTAAAGTAATGTGTGATGTGAGTAGACTTAAAATAAGTAAAGTATAAAGTAAAAGAAGAAGTGATGAAAGTGAAGATGAAGAGTAAAGCGCGGAAGTAGGCCGGGCGCACAGGTGGCTCACGCCTGTAGGAGCGTAGCCTGCGTGGAGGGCAAGCGGGGCAGATTGCTGGGGAGGTTCAGAGTCTGAGAGCCGCGTTGTGAGTGCGAGACCCGCGGGTGTCTACTACGTAGATAGAAAGAATTGTGTGTCGCACTGTACTGAAGGGTATAGTATAGAGAAAGAGGTAGCGCGTTGGGCATTGTTTGTTGTTGTGTGGGGTGGTTGTGTAGCCCAGCTTCACTGTCGGAGGCTGAGCTGTGTTTGCTGTGGTGCCTCTTCTCTCTCGCCCAGAGTTTGAGGTTGCTGTGAGTTAGGGGTTTGAAGCTACGCGACATGCTCTCTGGTGTTTGCAGACAGATTGGTGAACTGAGGTGTCTCAAGCAAGTTGATCTATTCTAAATTTAAAGTAGATAAAGATAATTTGAAGTAGAATTTTTTGATATAGATAGTTTGTAGTGTCGCTGAGAAGTAGCAAGGTCTGTGAGTTTGTCATGAATAAATGATTTAAGTAAGATTACACAGAAAATGTAATGAGCGGTTTCTTAGAACATAATTGGAAATGTTAAAGAGTCAAACAATGCAAGTGTATATCTGAATTCTCTCTTGCTCACCGGGCCAGGGTTAAGCTTTAATGTTAAATCCCTCATCCTGATGCAATATCCAATCCCCAAAAGGATGAGGGAAAAAAATTCAAGAAAAAAACACATAAGGATAGATGCCTAGAAAAGATACGAAAAGCAAATGCCTCATGGTGGTATTTGGTAACTTAAAGGTAGTGTTTTCTAGTGAGTTAAACAGCCTAAATTCTGGATCTGTGAGTTTGATCAAAATTTAGTTGATTGGGCCAGGCACAGTGGCTTACACCTGTAATCCTAGTACTCTGAGTGGCCAAGGCAGACGGATCACTCAAGGTTAGGAGTTCGAAATCAGCCAGAGGAAGAGCGAGACTCCATCTCTACTAAAAATAGAGTGAAATTAATTGGCCAGCTAAAAATATATAGAAAAAATTAGCTGGGCATGGTGGTGCATGCCTGTAGTCCCAGCTACTTTGGAGACTGAGGCAGCAGGATCGCTTGAGCCCAGGAGTTTGAGGTTGCTGTGAGCTAGGCTGATGCCATGGCACTCACTCTAGCCTGGGCAACAAAGCGACACTCTGTCTCAAAAAAAAAAAGAAAAGAAAAGAAGGTAAAGTAAAGTAAAGTAAAGTAAAAAAGTAAAGTAAAGTAAAGTAAAATAAAATAAAATAAAAATAAAAATGGCAGAATAGGCCGGGCGCAATGGCTCACGCCTGTAATCCTAGCACTCTGGGAGGCCAAGGCGGGCAGATTGCTGGAGGTCAGGAGTCTGAAACCAGCCTGAGCAAGAGCGAGACCCCATTTCTACTATAAATAGAAAGAAATTAATTGGCCAACTAATATATAGAGAAAAAATTAGCCGGGCATGGTGGCACATGCCTGTAGTCCCAGCTACTCGGGAGGCTGAGGCAGCAGGATCACTTGAGCCCAGGAGTTTGAGGTTGCTGTGAGCGAGGCTGATGCCACGGCACTCACTCTAGCCTGGGCAACAAAGTGAAACTCTGTCCCAAAAAATAAATAAATAAATAATGCAAATTAAGTATAAAGTATCTAGCAATGCATCTGAAAATTAGTGGTTACTAATTTTCCTCCTTCTCCTGTGCACTGCATCCAGTGAGTACAAAACATAGATAAACTCAAAAGAGTTGTCATAGCAATAGACAATACTTATATAGTTAATAGAACCTTTGCACTGAAAGGGACCCAAGAAAGAATTGTCTTTAACTTCTCAATCAAGAGTATCATCCAGAAAAAGGGCATCAGTCATTTCACAAAGTAGCCCATCACATTTCTAGACAAAGCTATCCAATCCTAGCTATGGGCTTCTTCTAGAACTGCGGTCCCCAACCTCTGGGCCTCGGACTGGTGCCAGCCTGTGGCCTGATAGGAACTGGGCCACAGAGCAGGAAGTGATCTGTATTTACAGCTGCTCTGCATTGCTTGCATCACCACCTGAGCTCTGCCTCCCTCAGTCCCCACCACCCCAGTCTGTGGAAAAATCATCTTCCATTAAGCTGCTCCCTGGTGCCAAAAAGGTTGGAGTCCACTGTTCTAGAACCATAAAGGTCAAATCTCTTTCATGTAGATGTGCTTAAACCACATATATTAGATATTACACCGATCCTTCAAAGTTCAGTTGCCCAAACCAAATGTTCTCTAGCAAAAACATTCTCAGTATCTTTAGCCACACTTCACATCACATGAATTGCACCTTCCTAATCAACTTGCTTGCCCAGAGCCAGTTTCCACTATTTAAACATCCCTATGAAAATGTGGTGTCCCCATTCTCCTTCCCATTCTTCTTTTATGAGGCAACAAAAGGAGTCTTTCACTATGCAAGACTTTTGTCTCCCCTATACAATTTACTCAAAATTTTGTAAAGGTAACTCCTCACTCTTTTGTATCAAAATTTATGAGATGAGTCTTTGGTTCACTGTTAACCTAGATCTGCAATGACTTTATAAATTTCAATTTGATTCCTTTTCAACTTCTGAATATCTAAAAGAATATATTTTTTCAGTTTGCCAAAACAAACTTTTGTTATCAAAGTTATTATTCTCATCAAAATTCTATGTGAGTCAATAAACTGTAGAGAACAATATGCCTAATATAAATTAATTTTGAAAAATAAAAGCCTTCTTGCCAAATTTGACACTATGTGGATTCTCATTCTAAGGGAAAAACTGTCATTAGAACAAAACAGAAGGCCCTATTTTCACACACAATGTCGATATTTTTTTCATAGAGGCATACGTCACTTTATTGGTCTTTGCTTTATTGTGCCTCACAGATGTTGCTTTTTTTTTTTTTTTTTTAACAAATTGAAGATTTGTGGCAACCCTGTGTGCAAGTCTATTGGCACCATTTTTCCAACAGCATGTACTCACTATGTGTGTCTGACATTTTGGTAATTCTCATAATATTTCAAGCTTTTTCACTGCTATTATATCTATTATAGCATTCTGTGATCAGTGATCTTTCACATTACTATTGTAATTGTTTTGGGGTGCCACAACCATACCTATAAAAGACTGAAAACTTAACTGATACATGCTGTATGTGTTCCGACTGCCCCACCAACCAGCTCTTCTCTGTCTCTCTCTCTCTCTCCTCAGGCCTCCCTATTCCCTTAGACACAACAATACTGAAATCAGGCCAATTAATGAACCTACACTGGCTTCTAAGTATTAAAGTAAAAAGAAAAGTCACATGTCTCTCACTTTAAATTAAAAGCTGGAAACGATTAAACTTAGTTTAGTGAAGAAGGAACATTGAAAGCTGAGAGCGGCTGAAAGTTAGGTCTCTTGTGCCAAAAGTTCTACTGTGGGTAAAATGCTATCACATAGCATTGCATGCTACAGAGAAATCTTTTGTTAATAGAAGAGTCAATGGATGTGGCAAACTTCATTGTCTTATTTTAAGAAGTTGCCACAGGCTGGGCGTGGTGGCTCAGGCCTGTAATCCTAGCACTCTGGGAGGCTGAGGCAGGTGGATCTCTCGAGGTCAGGAGTTCAAAACTAGCCTGAGCATGAGCGAGACCTCGTCTCTACTAACAATAGAAAGAAATTAATTGGCCAACTAAAAATATATATGAAAAAAATTAGCTGGGCATGGTGGTGCATGCCTGTAGTCCCAGCTACTTGGGAGGCTGAGGCAGAAGAACTGCTTGAGCCCAGGAGTTTAAAGTTGCTGTGAGCTACACTGATGCCACAGAACTCTAGCCTGGGCAACAGAGTGAGACTCTGTCTCAAAAAAAAAAAAAAAAAAAGGAAACTGCCACAGCCAACCAAACTTCACCAACCACCACCCTGATCAGCCAGCAGCCGTAAACACTGAGGCAAGACCCTTCACCATTAAAATAATTACTAGAGGTCCAGATAATCATTAGTATTTTTTAGCAATAAAGTATTTTTAATTAAGGGATGTGCATTTTTTAAGATATAATGCTCTTGTACACTTAATAGACTACCGTATAGTATAAACATAACTTTTACATGCACTGGGAAACCAAAAAATACATATATTTCACTTTATTGAGATACTAGCTTTACTGTGTTGGTCTGGAACCAAACCTGTAATATCTCTGTGTTATGCCTGTATATTCCTGTACATGCATTAAACAACAAAATCATTAAGTTATGTTCATGAATAAGATGTTACTTCTGTTTTCTCCAAAGCATTCAAACGAAAAGAATACTATGAATGTGCTTTATAGCTTACAAAAGCACTGAAGTTTCTCTCACATTGTTAGTATCTTCACATTATCATATTGAAATACTCAGGTTTTAAATTATTTTCCAGTACTCTAACCCAAGCTATTTCTTCTAAGTAACATATAATTCTACCTTAAGAAAAGGAACTAGGTGAGGTTGCGGTGAAGACTTTAGTTCAACATATAGTTTCCTGGTAAATTCTTCTGCTTCGATTTTTCCATCCTGAGGAATGAGAAGGGAAAAAAAATTTTTAGGTCTACAAATACTTTAAAAGGGGCAAAGTGTATATAAGTCATGACTATAGACACAGTAAGCTTTTACAAGTAGTAAAGTCCATCATTAAATAGACATTTTTTTTTTTACTGTCACCTAAGATATGAGTAAATATAAATAATAGAGATGTTTTTTCACAGAGAATACAATGAAGGGATGATTTTTTTTCTTTTTTGAAGATCCAATAAGCAAAATGAGAGAAGAGTTGACTGGCAGAATAATGCTACATTACTACAGTTTGTTAAGAACAATTAAGAATGGTTCATGGTTCTTGGCTGGTCCAAGAGCAGTGGTATTTACAACTAATTGATCACAACCAGTTAGACTCCTTTGTTCCTTTCTCCACTCTCACTGCTTCGCTTGACTAATCTTAATTAATTAATTAAAATAAAGAAGTGAAGACATAGGAGTCTTAGGGTAAGAAACAGGAAATCATTTGATTTGGGAACCTTGGGATTTTGGGTTTTGTTTTGTTTTTCTTTTAATTTGTAAGTTACTTTAACAGGCTAAGACTATATTTTTAGAATGCCATTGCAAGTCTATAACATCAGTTCCAAAGAAAGAAGGAACCCTTACAAAATGCTTTGTACTCTTAAGCATTTCAGGGGTCTGTGAGGTCTAAATTATTTTCACATTAATACCAAGATTTTTAGGGAGTCGTTTGCACTGTGCTGAGATTTCAACAGATGGTCTAAAAGCAACAGAGAGTAAAACTGCTGGTAAAAAGGCAATGACAAAGTGAAATAGTCATTATACTCTACAGTGTTACATACTTGCAGTTAAAAAAAAAAAGAGCCGGGCGCAGTGGCTCACGCCTGTAATCCTAGCACTCTGGGAGGCCGAGGCGGGCGGATTGCTCAAGGTCAGGAGTTTGAAACCACCCTGAGCAAGAGTGAGACCCCGTCTCTACTATAAATAGAAACAAATTAATTGGCCAATTAACATATATATACAAAAAATTAGCCAGGCATGGTGGCGAATGCCTGTAGTCCCAGCTACTCGGGAGGCTGAGGCAGGAGGATTGCTTGAGCCCAGGAGTTTGAGGTTGCTGCGAGCTAGGCTGACGCCATGGCACTCACTCTAGCCTGGGCAACAAAGCGAGACTCTGTCTCAAAAAAAAAAAAAAAAAGAGAAACAGACAATTTCTTTCTCTCTCCTCTCTCTTTCTATTTATTTATTGAGACAGGATCTCACTGTCAACCAGGCTGGAGTGCAGTGGTGTCATCAGAACTCACTGCAACCTCAAAATGCTGGGTTCAAACAATCCTCCTGCTTCACCCTTCCGAGTAGCTAGGAGTACAGGTGTGTGTCACCACATCAGGCTAACTTTCTCTTTTGTAAGTAGAGGTGGAGTCTTGCTATGTTGTTCATGCTGGTCTTGAACCCTGGCCTCAAGCAATCCTCCTGCCTGGTCTCCCAGTGCTGGGATTTTAGGCATGAGTCATTGCACCCAGCCTAAGTCAGTTTCAATTTAACATTTCCTTGATGAAATAATAAAAATTAATTTTATTAAATCTCAACTTTCAGCAGACATCTTTGTAATATACAACATAAAACATTTCAACTGCAGACCCAAATAAGGTGATCAAGGAAAAGCACTGAATCACTATTTGTTGATAGCCTGGCTTTCTGACATTTTGTAATTCTAGTAACAATTTCTATTGACCCAATACTCAACCTTCTCTCCAAGGCCCTTTTTAAGCTAAAGGAAACAAGACTGGTATATAGAAAATAATATACAGTAAACCATCACATTGCATACCTAAAATATATAGTATATATACTATATACTATATATATCATATATAGTATTGTATTATTATAATATATACTATATATATATATACTATAAAAAATAAAAAGTAAATTTTAAAAAAGAAATTCATAGGAAAGATTTACTTGTTTAAGATTTATAATTAAATAAAATTTAAAAAAAAGAAAAAAAAAAAAAAGAAAAAAAAAAGAAAAAAAAAAAGAAAATATCCAGTGGTGACTTTACCTAAAAGAAAAAAAAATAATTAAAAAAAAGATTTATAATTATTACATAGCTCCCAAGAAGCAAAAACAAAGTTTATCAAGATGTGTATTTAAAATAAATTTCATTGAAATATATATATTTCACATTTAAAACATGTTCTATGGATGCTTACAGAACTTACATTTTATAGAACAACTTACCAAAAGTTGTTCCACCAGCTTCTTCACATTCTGCCCCATTTCTGGGGACTGTGATCCACTGCATGCTAGTTTTATTAACATTGCAAGGAAGTTCTTACATTTTTTCACATTTTCTAGCATTGCCTACATATAGAAATATAAACGGAGACAAACACAATGTTAGTGAGGAAACAGAATTCAAGAAGATTTGTAATGAACTGTATTTATATGAGGTGCAAGTGAGAACTTACCGGAGAAAGACCAGTCTGAGCAGCTGCTGAGATCTCTGTTTTGAGAATGGGCTCATTTGAGGGGGTGGATGATACTCCCAAACTTGAAGGCTTCAAGGTAATTACAGTATTCGACGGCTTTACAGGAGTAACTGTGACAACACTGGCTGGCACAGCCGCGGACTGAAATTAAAAGTAATATATATTTAGATATGCATTGCTATGACACATTAGTGGGTGCCTCATTTCACACTTACAAGACTACAAATTTATTTTGACATCCTTGTTTTTGTGTTATACCCTACTAGTCTAAAGCAATAACATATTTATAGGAACTGTAGGCTCTAGCAGATTTGGGTTTCATTTTCACTTATCTACCTACTATTTTATTGCTACCTGGGAAGAGTTGATGGCAGGCAAGTTACTTAATCTTGCTAATCCTCTGATTCCTGTCTGTAAAAAATAAGGATTAATGGTACCTACTGTCCTAGGGTTATTCGTGAAAAACAGTGGCAAGTATATACATCCTCAAAAGATATTATTAATATGGCTCCGAAAAGTATTTGAAATAGCAAGTCTTTATATAAAAATACAGAATATTCTTTATCTTAATTATAAAGCAAAGCAATATACTGATTATTTTATATTGAGGTAAACTGCTTTTATGTAGACCATCAGAGTCAGCATAAAGAATATTATAGGCGAGGCGTGATGGCTCACAATCCTAGCATTCTAGGAGGCCAACGTGCAGGAGGATTGCTAGAGGTCAGGAGTTTGAGATCAGCATGAGCAAGAGCAAGACCCTGTCTCCACAAAAAAATAGAAAAATTAGCTGGACACAGTGGTGTGCACCTGTAGACCCATCTACATGGGAGGCAAGGCAGGAGGATCACTTGGGCACAGGAGTGTGAGGTTACAGTGAGCCATGATCATGCCACTGCACTCTAGCCTGAGCAACAGAGTGAGACCCTGTCTCAAAAAACAAACAAGGCCGGGCGCAGTGGCTGACGCCTGTAATCCTAGCACTCTGGGAGGCCGAGGCGGGCAGATTGCTCGAGGTCAGGAGTTCAAAACCAGCCTGAGCAAGAGCAAGACCGTCTCTATCATAAATAGAAAGAAATTAATTGGCCAACTAACATATATATAGAAAAAAATTAGCCGGGCATGGTGGTGCATGCCTGTAGTCCCAGCTACTCAGGAGGCTGAGGCAGCAGGATTGCTTGAGTCCAAGAGTTTGAGGTTGCTGTGAGCTAGGCTGATGCCACCGCACTCACCCTAGCCTGGGCAACAAAGCGAGACTCTGTCTCAAAAAAACAAAAACAAAAACAAAACAAACAAACTTGCAGTCTCCCTGAAGCATAAAAAAATAAGAAAAAAAATATTAACATAAAAAACAAACAAACAAAAAAGATTACAGAATGTGATATCTTATTTTCACACTGAAAAAAATTTCAGTCTTTTCTTCCACCTTCTATCAAAATGAAGTGTGACTCTAGCACCACCTGCAGGATAAAAAAGCTTTATACAAGAAATCACAAGTTTGGATAGTAAGTCAGAAAATTACACTGAGATAAAGCAATAATCTTATATTGAAGACAAACACTAAAAGTTACAGGAAATAAAAAAAGTTTGGGGGGATAAGGAAAGAACAGTATTTATAATTCATACAAAAAACTAAACATCACACAATTTAATTTTTTTTTTATTTCGGCATATTATGGGGGTACAGATTTTAAGGCTTCAATAAATGCCCTTTCCCCCTCCCCCAATCAATTTAATTTAAATGTTTGTGTTCTACAGGCAGAAAAGTCAAGTTTCTATCACCCTCATGAAAATCTCCCTCCGTAACAGCCAAGATAGGTGAATTTACAGGTACATCAAAATGTCCCACTTTAAAAAGACTAAAGGCCAGGCACAGTGGCTCACGCCTGTAATCCTAGCACTCTGGGAGGCCAAGGCAGGATCGCTCAAGGTCAGTAGTTCGAAACCATCCTGAGCAAGAGTGAGACCCGTCTCTACTATAAATAGAAAGAAATTAATTGGCCAACTAATATATATAGAAAAAATTAGCCGGGCATGGTTGGTGCTGGCTGTAGTCCCAGCTACTCAGGAGGCTGAGGCAGGATTGCCTGAGCCCAGGAGTTTGAGGTTGCTGTGAGCTAGGCTGATGTCATGGCACTCACTCTAGCCTGGGCAATAAAGTGAGACTCTGTCTCAAAAAAAAAAAAAATACATATATATACATATATATATATACACACACACACACATAGAAAAAATTAGCGGGGCATGGTGGTGCATGCCTGTAGTCCCAGCTACCTGGGAGGCTGAGGCAGAAGGATCACTTGAGCCCAGGAGTTTGAGGTTCCTGTGAACTAGGCTGACGCCACGGCACTCTAGCCCGGGCAACAGAGTCAGACTCTGTCTCAAAAAAATAAATAAATAAATAAAAGACTAGAGCATATATATTATACAAGAATATTGAGGGCTAAAATGGGAAGGAAAGTAAAAATACTAGGGACTGACAAAAGAAGGGTGGGGATACATGGTGACCCTAAGGTGGGTTTGGAGTATGTGGGCCTTCATTTTACTATCATTTTTCTCAACTTGTATGTGTACATATTACATATAATCTTATTTGTGTTTACTAAATATATTTCATAATAAAAATGTATTATAACAAAAGTATTAGCTACCAAATGGTAAACAAATTTGAAACTAAGATCAAATGGATACATTTTTGGAAAAATGTGAAATGTCAAAATTGGTACAAGAAGATACAGAGACTGGAATAGACAAATTAAAGAAATTAAAAAAATAATCAAAGAGACTTCCCGGCCGGGTGCGGTGGCTCATGCCTATAATCCTAGCACTCTGGGAGGCCGAGGCGGGAGGATTGCTCGAGGTCAGGAGTTTGAAACCAGCTCGAGGTCAGGAGCAAGAGCAAGACCCCGTCTCTATTATAAATAGAAAGAAATTAATTGGCCAACTAATATACATAGAAAAATTAGCCGGGCATGGTGGCGCATGCCTGTAGTCCCAGCTACTCAGGAGGCTGAGGCAGGAGGATTGCTTGAGCCCAGGAGTTTGAGGTTGCTGTGAGCTAAGCTGATGCCACAGCACTCACTCTAGCCTGGGCAACAAAGAGAGACTGTCTCAAAAAAAAAAAGAGACCTCCCTCCCCTAAATCTCGAGGCTCAGATACTTTCCATGTGATTTTTCCTCACTTTTGCATAATTCCTGTCTTATAAAAGATGTTTCAAAAAAAATAGAAAAAGCTGTCCAATTCATTTTGAGACAGTCTATAACTTATATTTCAAACTGAACAAGAATATTAAAAGGAAAATCAATTAAAAGCTCACTTGGCAAGAATTTTAATAAAATTTAAAATATACTGATTAATGACGAGGACAAGAACTACTGATGAAATGCTGAGCAAAAGAGGTAAAATTTAAAATTACACCTAAATTAGTAAAATTTTATTAACTATAGATAGAGCCCCAAAGGCAACAATGAAAACAAAGTCTCCTTCCTTTTCAAAGCCTTAGTTCTACTCTCCAGAGACAATTGCCATGGAGTTTCTTCTAAATCCTTCTGAAGATTTTTCTAATAAACATTTAGGTTTATATACAGTTAATAAGACTCTTCAGTGAATCTATCTTATAACCAGCCAGCCATTATCTCTCTGTACTACTATATTAAGAAAGCATAATCTGGAATTTTAGCTGGTGATTATGATTTCTTTTAAGGACTGATGGAGCAGGTTCCTCGTGGGAGTACTGTTCTCCTCCCTTGTGGAGCAAAATAAGATCTAATGAGATCACTTGAGCCCAAAAGTTTGAGGTGGCTGTGAGCTAGGCAGATGCCATGGCACTCTAGCCTGGGCAACAGAGTGAATCTGTGTCTCAAAATAAATAAATAAAATAAAATAAAATCCAATGAAACGTAGAGTTTAGGAAAAGTGGTTTTTATTGTTTGTGAGTAGGAGAGAGGAGCATTTATGGCATTCTACTTTTTTTATCAATCTTTTATCCTCTTTGCAATACAAAAATCTGTCCTTCAAAGTCCTTTGTAACTTACCTACTACCTGTATCTTACCAGACACATACATACTTTCCATGCCACTTCTATTCCTTTAGAGGCATAGGGAAGTACATAATCTGGGTCTTACTCTATCTCTTTAATTCCATTTCAGTGTAGCATGGATCCTCGTAAACTCAATGGTAACTGACATGCTTTGCAAGGCTGCATTGACTCTGACTAAGCATGTCTTGGGGACAAGAGAGAAAATGGCTGGAGTATATGTGAAATAAATGGGTGAAAATCATACATAGATCCAGTAAAATAAATTGTATGTAAATTTAGCAGATGAAACTGCATTTCAAGGAGGGTCATTTTCTGTATCTGAAAAAGCAATCACTTAGGCCCATTTATATTTAATTAGAAATAGAAATTCTAAATCAAATCATTTGTACATTAGATTCCAATATAACATTAGGTCAAACTCTACCTTCATCATCAAATACAACATAAAAGTGAACTCAAAGATTTCAAATGAGTTCTTGTTTTACATTTACCAGACTGAGTCATGTTGCAAGTCGTTTTAAACAAATATCGATTATCTACTAGTAGGAAAATACTTTCAAAATTTCTTAATACACACATTTGCCTTTATAATCAAACAATCAAGTACAAGTTTTATCTTCACTCATTCCTGAGTTCTAGCTCCTTATTTCCAAGAAGTGCTTAAAACTGAGATATTTTACCCCTCAAAGTGGACAGATATTAACTTCATTCTTTGATACTTTCTATTGCTCTGACTACCACTACCCATTTTAAAATATGCATCAATCACTGGGTGTGGTGGCACATGCCTGAAGTCTCACCTATTCAGGAGGTTGAGGTGGGAGGATCGCTCAAGCCCAAGAGTTTGAGGCTACAATAAGCTATGATCGCACCACTGCACTACAACCTAGGCAACAGAGACCCCATCTCAAAAGGAAAAAAACACATCAATCTAAATTATGAAAAACAGTGTACACGGAAATACCAATAATACACATATATATGGAAAAATAATCTGAGGAAAAAACTACACAACCCAGATATACCATTTTAGAACTATATGTACTAAATCTTTTTGATATAGAAATATGCAATTTCTTTATTAATATATTAAATAATAACAAGATTGGTAGTAAAGCTAATAAGTACTATAATTCCAATATGATAATTAGCATGAACATTTCAAAGTAACTATAACATGAGGAAATATAAAAATATCAATGAATTCTATTGTGACAGAGTCATAAATATACACTAATATGATGTAGTACTTCTTGGTTCCGTGGTTTGGAGCCTACGTTCACAGCTGAAAGAAATTCTAAGTTTTAGTTTGGGCTTAGTAAAGATTTCCTCCCTCATTTGAATTCACAGACTCCAGGTTAAGAATTCCTGGTTTATGCTCGCTTCCTTTGGCAGCACATATACTAAAATTGGAATGATACAGAGGAAATTAGCATGGCCCCTAAGCAAGGATGACACATAAATTTGTGATGTGATCCATATTTAAAAAAAAAGAACCGCTGGTTGTCCCCTTTATAAAAACTACAAATATAATTAGTGTTCACCAACTGTGATTACTAACTAAATGAACCCAAGCTTTCACTTTCTAGAACTATCAAGACTTCAATAGGCCGGGCATGGTGGCTCACGCCTGTAATCCTAGTACTCTGGGAGGCCAACGCCAGAGGATCACTCAAGGTCAGGAGTTTGAAACCAGCCTGACCAAGACCCAGACCATGCATCTACTATAAATAGAAAGAAAATTAATTGGCCAACTAAAAATATATAGAGAAAAACTTAGCCGGGCATGGTGGCGCATGCCTGTAGTCCCAGCTACTCAGGAGGCTGAGGCAGAAGGATTGCTTGAGCCCAGGAGTTTGAGGTTGCTGTGAGCTAGGCTGACGCCATGGCAGTCTAGCCCAGGCAACAGAGTGAGACTCTGTCTCAAAAAAAAAAAAGACTTCAACTAATATTCAGAGAGCAAAGAAATAAAGCTGTGGCTGCAGCTGGCAAGGGAAAGAAAGATCTTCAGATCTCTCAGGGATGAGAATCTGGTCATGTTACCAATTAAGCTACCAAGACCAGTATAGTTGGTAGTTGAGGGCAAAGGGAATCTAGAATGGATAGTGGAGGAAGGAGATTAGTATCAGCTGCAACTGGAGCCAAGCTGTAGCAGTGGGGACTGTAGTTCATTCTATTAACCTTCTCTTCATTGTTTTCTCAAGGAAGAAACCCATTTAGAATCCCAGAACAGTGATCTTCAACATGTATGAGGAAGTAGATCCAAGTGATGCAAGGAGTACACTGTGGACCATCACAAGGAGAGATTGGATTGTCCTAGCTAGCTACTGGGAATGCTATTAGACAGCCTCCAATTGTCAGTTCCATCAGGTTTTCATCAGCTGCAGACAATCACCTCACCCCAAAGTATAACTTTCCCAAGAGAGTCCATATCCAATGACTGATCCCAGAGTGGAAACTCAGACCCAACCGACCCCCTGGCCCCCAGTGAGACAATGCCAACAAACCATATATGCTCCATAGTTCTCTACTATGTCGGTTGAGGATTTGACTTGCATATAGTTCAAAAGCTTACTCTTTTCCGGAATTCCAGACATTGATCCCTAAATATCTCATGCACCAAATTTTATCTCAGCACTGCAACACATGGCTGTTAGATGGATTTGTATTAATTTAAAACATTTAAGTAAAACTGAGATTCCAAGAATATATAGCATATTTATCTTGTTTCCCATTCCTCCAACAGTTCCCAATTTGATAAGTGTCACCATGTATCACTGAATTGCTCTCTTCAGTGTTCTATAGTCTACAACTTCTACATCTGGCAGGAAATAGGTAAATAACAAATAAAGATAAGAATAACTACGGCACAATAGCTTCAAGTCATAACTTACTTGTACTGAGGAAGACTTCGCAACAGTGGTTACCACAGTAGTTCCTATCGGTGCCAATTTTTTAACAGGTGCCACTGCCACTTTCTTGATTGATTGTGAGCTAGAATTCTTGAGGGTGAAGAGGTGAGCAAGATAACATAAAGTCATTGACATTAGTGATTTAAAATCCATCAGTACCATGGTGATCATTAAAACACTTTACCATAGCAAACCTACTTGTTATAACTGGCTTTATATTAATAACAACAACCTTATGGATTTTATGCACATTCTATACTATAAACCTAACGGGTCAAAGATCCAGTTGACATTTATTTCCTATTTCTAAGGAGGCAACTGATTCAAAAAACATTTCATTTATCTGCAATTTCAAACTAAATACATGTTATAGTATTCAGCATTAAAAGCTTGACTCTTGAGGCCGGGCGCGGTGGCTCACGCCTGTAATCCTAGCTCTCTGGGAGGCAGAGGCGGGTGGACTGCTTGAGGTCAGGAGTTCGAAACCAGCCTGAGCAAGAGCGAGACCCCGTCTCTACTATAAATAGAAAGAAAATAATTGGCCAACTAATATATATGAAAAAATTAGCCGGGCATGGTGGCACATGCCTGTAGTCCAGCTACTTGGGAGGCTGAGGCAGCAGGATTGCTTGAGCCCAGGTGTTTGAGGTTGCTGTGAGCTAGGCTGATGCCATGGCACTCACTCTAGCCTGGGCAACAAAGCGAGACTCTGTCTCAAAAAAAAAAAAAAAAAGCTTGACTCTGGTTCATACAGAAAACATATAGATTCTTATTTAATATTTAATTATAAACCTACAGATGAAATTTGAGTGAAAAGGTTTTTTAAAAGAGATTTAAAATTAATTAAAAAAATAAAAATATACATTTAATTATAAACCTATATTTTCAACCCACAGCAGTTAGATAAACCAAACAAGAAAGGGAAGGAGCAGCTATAATTTTGATACATAAAAACGAGTAATGACGGTTAAGAACTCGAATCAAATTACAAATGACGCCGAGGGGAGACGCATGCTGACTGACATCACTCGGGCTGAGGCGGGTGGTGCTCAAACCGGTAAGACCAGACCATGAAGCAGGACAAGGACACCGTTCCTTATTAGAAAGAAATCATATATAGCACAATATAAACCAAGAGAAACATATATCAACTGGGCATGTGAGCGCATGCCTGGTGTCCAGACCTAACACGGGGAGCTGGGCCAGACAGAATTAGCTATGAGCCCAGAGAGTTGAGTTGGATGAAGCTGGACTATCAATGACACACACTCTAGCCTCAACAAGCGAGACCTGTCTCAAAAACTGCAGAGAATGTATATACTAGCACATGAAACTTTCATTAAAATGAGCCTGAGTCATCAGGAAAATGCTAAACTATATGTGGCATCTTCTGTTTAAAGAAAGACACTCATGAAAATATTTTAGCTCTACCACACAGGAAAACTTCAGTTATCTAGAAAGATGAACTACACATGTAAAATAAGTCACTTACTAACAATGCCAAATTAATGAAATATTATAGATCTCTGTATTTCTTAAAGATAATTTCTATAAGAGATGGATTAAAATGAATACTATAAACTAGAGTCTTACTACTTTACCACAAATTAAAATAGAAGCAGAATGGTTATTTCCTTTCCATTTAGGATACAAATAGCCCTTTGAACATTCTTTTCAGAACTATAAAATCTTTGAATATGAGGACAGAATTTTCATTATTTTAGCAATCATCAAAGGACAAAACCAAAAATCTTGATTAAATTAATATTCCAAGAAAGGTGCTGAATTAAAAAAGTCAAACAGAATCACTTCTTAATTTTTACTGGCAAACACATATGCATGTACATGAAGATAATAGCTGGGAAACAGGAAGATGAAAAAAAGCTTTAAAGTATATTACCGGAACGGTACAGATTTTGAGTGTTTGAGTATTCGTTGGTATGGCTGGCCTTGAAGTTATGTTACTTGTGGTCTCAGCTCTTGTTGCGGCTTGCTGAGGAGATACCAGCATCAACTGACCACTATTACTTTTGATCAAAACTGTTCCTATAGTTAAAAGAGGAAAAAAAAAACTGTGACGTCTGAACTAATAAAGCATAATCATCACATATTTTTTTCTCCCATTTCTTCCAACACTGTAAAATGCTCTGAATAAGTGATTAGTATATACTGAATTTCATGTCTGCTAATTATTATGTGTAAGATGGAAAAATTTTTCACTCGAAGCTATTTAAATTATTAAAAATCTAAGCATATGGTGAGATACTGACAAAGTACTCTTCCTTCATGACATCAAAACTATTTATAAACCTATAATAATTAAGATGGTGTGGTAACAAGAATACATAAGCTGACCAATGTAATAGACAACCCCAAAGTAGACTCATGTGGATATGTCATATAAAATTTTCCTGAAAGGCACTGCAGATTGATGAAGGAGAGGCTATTCAATAAACAGGGCTGTGTCAATTAACCATCTATATGGAAAAGATGAAATTTTAGAAAGAAAAAAATGTACAAATATTTCCTGAGAAATTCAAGCTCTTTTATTGATTGATTGATTGATTATTTATTTATTTATTTATTTATTTTGAGACAGAGTCTTGCTTTGTTGCCCAGGCTAGATTGAGTGCTGTGGTGTCAGCCTAGCTCACAGCAACCTCAAACTCCTGGGCCCAAGCAATCCTCCTGCCTCAGCCTCCAGAGTAACTGGGACTATAGGACTATAGGCTAATTTTTTCTATATATATTATTTGGCCAATTAATTTCTTTCTATTTATAGTAGAGACGGGGTCTCGCTCTTGCTCAGGCTGGTTTCAAACTCCTGACCTGGAGCAATCCTCCCGCCTCGGCCTTCCAGAGTGCTAGGATTACAGGCATGAGCCACCGCGCCTGGCCATCAAGCCCTTTTAAATTTTCAGTGTCAGAGAGGCATTAACATGGGAGGAATTATCATGTCCTACCCCCCATGACCACCACTAGCTATGTAATCATCTCTTGAAAATGCTTGCTATTGCCACAAATAGCTATAAATCATCCTAACAATGCCACACATTGGCCACCCTAAACCACACCATACAGCTGAATGTATAACCAATCACTAATCAATAATATTTCTGTAAATCAATGAGCATTCCTGACAAACAACTTTTTACTAGCTCACTCCTTGTCCCCTTTTGTGCCTTTAAAAACCTGCTTGTAAGAAAAGCCAAACAGAGCACTCCTCAAGGCAACTTGGAAGTATGTCCCAGTCAGCTGTCCTCAACTTGACCCAAATAAACTCTTTATTATTACAAAAGTCTGCCTCAGACTCTTTTTTTTTAGGTTGACATTCCAGATGCCTATTTCACAAACATTCACAAAAACCTAGGTGCATTAAAGATATAAATGTAAAAAGTAAAAAAATCATAAAATCTCAGACAATATAGAAAATTATCTTTCTGACTTTGGGATAGGGAAGGATTTCTTAAAAGTAAGTTTGATAAATTCAACTACATGAAAAAATCCCTTGGGGGGAAAAAAGAAAGAAAGAAAAGAAAAAAATTTAAATAAAAAAGCAAGAACTTTATTCCCCACTGTGCTCATTCTTTTGCAAAAGCAAGAACTTTTGTTTACCAAAAGACATTATCAGGTGTAGGACAAACCACAAAATAAGATAAAATTTTAGTTCACATATATTCAAAGAACAATTACCCAAAATACAAAAAAGAAACACAGATGCCAATGACATGGCTGATGCCTGTAATCCTAGCACTCTGGGAGGACAAGGCAGGATGATCATTTGAGCTCAGAAGTTCAAGACCAACCTCAGCAAAACCAAGACCCTGTCTTCACTAAAACTAGAAAAATTAGCCAGGTGTGATGGTGCACACCTGTAGTCCCAGCTACTTGGGAGGCTGAGGCAGGAGGATTGCTTGAACCCAGGAGTTTGAGGTTACAGTGAGCTATGATGATGCCACAGCACTCTAGCCAGGGCGACACAGCAACACTGTCTCCCAAAAACAAAGTTTAAAAATCGGCAAAAAGACTTTAAAATAAATTAATAAAAATTTTTAAAATGAAACCACAGTGAGATATCACTTTATATCTACCTAGACAGGCAAAAACATTTTTTAATAAGTCCAATGACAGTATAAAGTGTTAGAGAGATGTACATCAACAAAAATTCTAATATCTTGCTGGCAGTAATTTGGTACAGCTACTTTGTTCAACTTTACATGACTGTGCCAAATTGATTTCCATTCCATGTCCTGTAGCCCAGTACTTCTAACCTAAAGAAACTTTTATTCATGTCAATAGGAGAAACAAACAAGAATATTCACAGCTGAAGTTCCACTTCTAGAATGGCAGCATAAGAAGCTCCACAAACCCCAGTGAAGCACAACTAGTAAAAGTTATTTATTTATTTATTTTTTTGAGACAGAGTCTCACTTTGTTGCCCAGGCTAGAGTGAGTGCCATGGCGTCAGCCTAGCTCACAGCAACCTCAAACTTCTGGGCTCAAGCGATCCTACTGCCTCAGCCTCCCAAGTAGCTGGGACTTCAGGCATGTGCCACCATGCCCAGCTAATTTTTTCTATATATGTTAGTAGGCCAATTAATTTCTTTCTATTTTTATGGTAGAGACGGGTCTCACTCTTGCTCAGGTTGGTTTCCAACTCCTGAGCTCAAAGGATCCACCCGCCTCAGCCTCCCAGCGAGCTAGGATAACAGGCGCGAGCCACCGCGCCCGGCCGGTAAAACTTATTTTTAAAAAAACATTCAAAGACTTTGGAAATTGTCCTAAAGCACACAGAAAATGACTATACAATTTCTAAAGAAGATCTGCTAAAACTCAGTAAGAATAGCAAGAATATGTGGCATTTGAGCAACAAACACCCCTTCCTCTCAGCTCAGCATGACAGAACCTCCACTCTAGGAAGAAGCTCCCAATCTAAGGCTGTATCTTCCTGGGAGGAGCAAGCCACCCACATTTCTTATCTCCCCCCCAAGATTCACTCCCACCCCAGTTACATAATGAAGGGGATAAATTGAGAGGAGTGCATCTGAGAGATTTGAGGCTCCCTTCTTTCTCACCCATTGCCACTCACAGAAAGAAAGCTCTATTTCAGGAACGGCACACTGAGAATACTTAGACCCCAAATGCTTTCACTCCACCTCTTTCATAGAGTGGAGATTGGATGCTGGGAGAGGTAAGCAGAAAAACAAAAGTGCTGCAGAAAAACAGGAGTGCTGCCGGCACCAGGAATCTCACTCAGAGAGAAGCATGCCACAGTCCCAGCACCTGTTCCAAATATCGCCCTAAGGGAACTGACTTTATTTCAAACTGTAGAGAAGTTCAAGGCAGGCCAGGCATGGCACCTAATGCCTGTAATCCTAGCACTCTGAGAGGCCGAGGCAGGTGGATTGTTTGAGCTCAGGAGTAAGGTTATACTTCCTAACCTAAAGAAAACCTTTGTATTATGTCATGAGGAGAAACAAACCAAGCAATGATTTCACAAGCTGAAGTTCCACTGTCTAGAATGGCAGCATTAAGAAGCTCCACAACACCCCCAGTGTAAGCCACACACTAGTAAAGGATTATTTTTTGATTTTTTTTTTTGAGGACAGGAGTCGCACTTTGCCCAGGGCTGATGGTGCATGGCGCAGCCTAGACTCACAGCAACCTCGAAACTTCTGCGGCCAACGGCGCTCTACTCTGCCTCGGGCCTCCCAAGTAGGCTGGGCACTTCAAGCATCGTGCCACCCATGCGCCAGCCTAATTTTTTCTATACTTTGTTAGTAGCCAATTAATTTTCCTTTTTTCTATTTTAGCTGGTAGAGACGGGTTCACTCTTGCTCAGGGTTGTTTAGCCATATCCTCCTGGCTCCAAAGTCGATCCACCCGCTGCCCCTCAGCGAGCTAAATAACAGGCGCGAGCCACCGCGCCTCGGCGGTAAAACTTTCATTTTTAAAAAAACATTGGCAAAAGACTTTGGAAATTGTCCTAAAGCACACAGAATGCACTATACAATTACTAAAGAAGATTTGCTTAAAGACTCAGTAAGAATAGCAAGAATATGTGGCATTTGTAGCAACAAACACCCCTTCTCTCCAGGCCTCAGCATGACAGAACCTCCACTCTAGGAAAGGAAGCTCCCAATCTAAGGCCTGTATCTTCCTGGGAGGGAGGCCCAAGCCACCCACATGTTCTTATCTCCCCACCCAAGATTCACTCCCACCCCGGTTCATTATGAAGGATAATTTGGAGAGGAGTGCATCTGAGAGATTTGAGGCTCCCTTCTTTCTCACCATTGCCACTCACCAGAAAGAAGGCTCTATTCAGAACGGGCACACTGAGAAATACTTAACCAAATGGCTTTTCCACCCACCTCTTTCATGTCATTATGGAGATTGGATGCTGGGAGAGGTAAGCAGAAAAACAAAAGTGCTGCAGAAAACAGATGCTTGCCCGGCCCAGGAATCTCATCTCAGAGAAGCATCCACTACAGCCCGCACTGCTTCCAAATTATCGCCTAAGGGAGAACTGACCCTTTATTTCAAACTGTAGAGAAGTTCTCAGTGCCATGGCCAGGCGATGGCACCAAATGGCCTGTAATCCTAGCACTCTGAGAGGCCGAGAGCAGTAGTGGATTGTTTGAGCTCAGAGAGTCCGAGACCAGCCTGGAACAAGAGCAAAGGAAACCCCCTGTCCGACTAAAAAAGAAAAAAAAAAAAAAAAAAAATTACCTATATAATTATATAGTATATAAATTAGCCACCGGCATGCGGTGGCGCATTGCCTATAGCAGCTTTACTCGGAGTGCTTGAGGGGGTGAGGCCCAGAAGATCACTTGAGGGCCCAGGAGTTTAGGTTACTGTGAGTGAGGCTGGACGCTACGCCAGCACTCACTCTAGGCCTGGGCAACAAGTGATGGCCTCTGGTCTCAAAAATTAAACAAAGCAACAAACCATTGCCCAGATCACAAAGGCTATTAGAATGGTAGAGGGTGGAATTCAAACCCAGGTCTGTGGACCCAAGGGCCAAAATCTCCTATATTCCAAGG